AAAGATTTAAAAAACTGGGCATGTTTATTCTTGAGAAACGAAGATGGAGGAGAGGGGAATCTGATAACAGTTTTCAAATATGCTAAGGGTTATTATAAAAAGGACTGTGATAAATTGTTCTCCAATTCCACTGAATGTAGGACAAGAAGTAATGGGCTTAATCTACAGCAAGGGAGAATTACATTAGATATAAGGAAAAACTTTTAACTGTAAGGGTAGTTAAGCACTGCAATGGGCTTCAAAGGAGGTTTTGGAATCCCTATTATTGGAGATTTTTAAGAAGAAGTTGGACAAACATTTCTCAGGGATGGCCTAGGTTTACTTGATCCTGCCTCAGCACAGGGGACCAGACTTTATGACTTTTTGAGATCACTTCCACCCCTACATTTCTATGATTCTGTCATTCTATGAAATCTCCATCGCGTGTCCTTCAGATTGAAGTCTCCCATAATAATGTAGCTATTTTTGCCCCAAACATTATAGATAGGTGTTTAAGGACCAGCCATCCTGTTCTCTAGTGTGAGCTGGTGGTCTGTAACAGACACCTAATAGCATTCCATCTTGTTCTTTTAAGATAATTTAAGATAATTTGCTTCAAAGTTGTCAGCAACTTGGAAACAGGTAATGCCATTTTTGACATAAATTGCCACTCCCCATCCTGTTTTGCCCACTCAGTCCTTGCTAAATAGATTATAACCAGTGATTTTTAGCATCCAATCATGTGATTCTACACCACGTTGCAAGAATGCCAGTTATGTCAAATTGTGTATATGCTGTTATGATAGTCTTTAACTACCTGGTCACATACTGTAATTCCACAGGACACATGCCTCATTCCACAAGACTCAGAAAGTCTTTACTGAGCATCTGGAAATTGTGATATTTTCAAAGGCTTATTACTTGGCCAAATTGTTCCTGTTTCCTTCAGGAGTGAAATAGTTCCACCATTGCAGAGCATACAGAAAAATCCATTTTAATTGCTGCTTTCAAATGCTCCTATCTCCAACTATAACTTCAGATAGATATATTATCAGCCTAGGGAAACCATATTGCTTATAACCCTGGACAGAAAGAAGTGCTATTTGGACAACTAAAAGTGTCAGGCTTTCTGCCAATGAGACAGGCATGACAGGAGAGACTGGAGATAGGCTGGGTGACATCAGAAGTAGCAACACTGATGACAAAGCAGAGAGTTGTCCAAGGGGCTGAGCGGAAGAAAAGCAAAGAGAACTGAGCTGCCTCAGGATTAGAGGAAGTGTAGGAGGATTCTCAGATGGTCCAGCTGTAACAGTTCCTGTACCATGGCTTTTCCCCCCAATACATACATGTTGGAGGGATTGTGATCAGTGGAAAGAAAGCATGTAATCACTGGCTGTCATTATGGCTCCTTGTTTGCAGGTAGTGCATGTTGCAACAGCCTGCAGTATGCTTTAATTTGGTACAAGGCAGCTGAATCCTGTGAATCCTGAATCCCTAGGATGGAAAAGTTGGCACCACGTCCTGAAAAATCTATGACAAAAATCTGCATTGGGGAATGGAGGAACTGATCAGCAACACCATAATATATTTTCAGCACAATAACCTTCTGCAAATAAACCATTTTGGATTCTAAAGAGAAATCATGCCCACATGCCATCATGCAACTCCGAATATGCTTTTGTGTGCAACTATAAGAATGATCTGAGTCACGCAATGATTTGTGCCATCCATCACAGGTTAGAGTCTGGCCCTTTGTTTTATAGTTCTACCTGAGGCCCAAAATCAAATGTAACAATTTTGGTAATAAATAGTGCTGAGGTGTTTTGTAGTAAAATCTGTATCTGTAGCTAGTCTTACCCCACAAAAATAGCATGTTTAGTCATTATATAATGTGAGTGTGTCTCTCTAATTTCAAAAACAAGAACATTCTCCTTTGCTTATTTGGGAGCAATATTAATAAATAATACTTTATTTGTATATAGTGCCTTTCAACCTGAGGAATTTCAAAACTCTTCAAACACTTTACAACTCACTCGTTTTCTCTTGGCCTAAAATAATCTATATTTAAATATGAAAGAAAATGCTTCTGCATCATTAACTAGCATCTGCTACTACACATTGTGTACTTAATCCACCATTGAAATGCAGCCACCTCTGAGGCAAAATGTAGTTGCTGTGTCATAACATACATCATGCAACAATTTAAGAGTAAAACTACAGGCACAGTAAAATAATTACATAGCATGTGGACATAAAAACAGGCAAATGAGCGTTGCCTACAAAACAATATATAAATACAGTTCACACTGTGTGGATATATTTATCTAGAAATTTATATCAGCACACATTGTCAGACAGCTGGGTACTTCCCATCAATAAAACCAATCAATAGATTACAATATGTTGTGTAACAGAAACAGTAAATACAAATTGAATAGATGTACATAAGCACTGAATTTAGTTACCAGATGCCAGGAACATAGTCAATTACAGCGATGGAATAGTATCAAATATTCCATCAAGAACTCGCCTTGATGTTGAGTTAGTGGTTGTGCTCCTTTCTAAACTGTTGCAATTACACCAGTTGTTCCTATTGCTGTCTTTGTTAAGGTATAAATATATCAGTATTGATTACTCCTACAAAATTCCCACTAAAGATAATTTTTCCTGAGAAAAGACTAGGTGTTATACAAAGAATATGTCCATTAAAATACACTCCTTCCTAATCCTTAATTTTAGTCTGTGCCCCACTGTGCTTTTGGTGCTCTGATACTGAAATATCTGGAGATAATGAGCTTTGAACTCCCCTGAAGTGACCCTTAACTTTTAAAAATGAAATCTTATTGGGATGTGGCTTTAATACATAAGTTACATTACCTGAGTAAGCACCATCTGTACATATCATTGTTCAGTAAATGGGGAAACAATGGCATATTCAGCCATCTGACAGAGGTGTTATTTAGATTATTGTCCTTTAGATAAGCTACATCAGCACAAAATGGGCAACTGTAATTTCAGGTATGAGATGCTTTTGATTTGGATATATTGAACTACTTATACTTGCTGCATTCCTCCGTATTATTTCATTAATCACATAACAAGCTTTCCATTTCTCCACTAAACACGCTAACTCAAATTATTGCTAGACTGCACAGATGTTTCCTCATTTAGATGCTCAGTACATAGTCATTTGTTACTCTCATTGTCACACAGATTTCAATTTATATTACATCACTCTAATGTCCTTTCTGTTTGTGAGCCCTTTGGATTAATATGTTCATTTGAATAACAAGTATAAACATAAAAATAGATTAGAAATGTGAACTTTCAGCTAATGGGATTGTCTGAAAATATAAGGAATGTTTCTTTTAACAGCAGAATCATCCCACTAAATACAGCTAAATGGGCAAAATTCTGATGTCAGATACAATTATTCCAGATTTACACTGGTGAGGCCATAAGTTGGCCTATAAATGTAATATATGTATTAAATAGCATAATTCTCATTATAATGAGTAATAGTGTATCTTTCTATCTATTTTGCGTCACATGAAATGTAAAGGAATTTTTAAACTAATATTTAGTAATGACAGTGGGAAATGCTGAACAATGCAACAGAAACTTCTTCTGCACTCCTAGGAGAGGAAGGAGTAGTGTTTAGAACCTGTATTTCTTTTTGGTATGAGGGAATGAAGTTTGTTGTAGCACTTGATTGTCTGTATCCTATTCAGATGAAATACTGATATATGATTGATTACAAGATAAATACCCATGCCTATTTGATTTGAAACAACAGTTCTTGGGGTTTGTTTGTAACAAAGTTGAAGCAAATTTAGAGATACGGTGAACAAGCAAGAAAATGAGATTCAGGTGTACAAAAATGGGCAGTCAGAGGGGGTTACAATGCCTTTTACTACTCTTCTTAAAATGGTTTCAGAGTAGCAGCCGTGTTAGTCTGTATTCGCAAAAAGCTCACGAAAGCTTATGCTCAAATAAATTGGTTAGTCTCTAAGGTGCCACTAGTACTCCTTTTCTTTCCTCTTAAAATGTTTGTTATGCAGCAAAGAGTATGGGTTATTCAGATATTAAAATAAGCATGTAAAGTCCTGCTGCAAATACAAGAACACAAAGAAGCTGACAAAAATTAAGTCAAGAAAAGGAAATGTAAGTGTATGAAATGTTTTCAAGTAATTTACAAATATTAATTTTTGCTTATCTCAGAACATTATTCTTCCAGTTAAAAAATGGCAGAAAAGTGGGCAGCAGCACACACTATACATATACTCTAGTATTCAATTTTTCTCCCTGTCAGAAACACTAATTTTATTGTAAAAACAACTGCGTTGTAGAGACTTAATTTCTCTAGGCAACTCGGAGGTGAGCAGTAAAGACCTCCGCGCACACGTTTCCCAGCAATAGATACGGTGGTGCAGTCTCACACAGAGCCCTGCAAAGCCGAACATTCCCTCGCCCTCAGCCGCGAGAACTGCCTGCTCTAACATCCCGCCTTGGAGCGGTTGGCATTTTGTTTTCTATGGCCCAAGCAGGGAATGGCATGTTTCAGAAGACAAGCTGGATTCAGCCGATGATGTATGTCCTTGCGTTTGTTACCGTCTCCCGGAGCACAGGCACTGTCTCGCTGCAGCCACGCTAGCCACGAGCTTCAGGGCGCCTTACAGCTGCCACATTTGCTAAACAAAAGAAGTTTAAGGGCGACTCTTTCGAGCGGGCGAGGCGGAACAATAGCTGTCTCACAGCCAGCCGCCCGGCCAGGCGGTAGCTCCTTCTGCACGCAGAGCCCAGAAGCGACCCTGGGGCCCGCTGGCCCCTTCTGCGGAACCCTTCGGGGGTTTCCTTTGCCCTGTGGAGCCCCGTCCCGCAGCACACAAACCCGCGCGGCTGGCTTACGCGACTGGGCGGGAAGGCTGATTAAAACTCACAGCATTGGTTCGTTAGTGGTGCGAACCCCCCGCCCCCGATGCTCCGGTCCCTGGAGTTTTAAGCACGTGAGCACACGACGCTGCCTGTTCTCCAAAGACCCCGCAGCCTTTCAGGAGGGAGCCCGCGCGCCAACCTCTCCAGCCAGCTCCACCGGCGAGTCCCTGCTCCGCCCGCGCACCCGAGGAGCCTCCCTCCCCGCGGCGGGGCTCCGCGCCTCGCCACCACCAGCGCCGCGCACAGGACTGTCCGGCAGGCCCGCCGCGGCGCTGGCTCGAGGAGGGATGCTGCGAGGGCAAGAGGCGGCGGAAGGGCGGCAACAGGCGGCGTAGGAGAGCAGGCAGCCCCCGGCGGGACTGGCCGGGCGAAGAGGGGAACCACAGGCGCCCTGGGCAGCGGCTGGGCACCCTCCCTGCCCCGGCTCTGCGCCTGCCCCAGCGCCATGTGACTGACCCGCTCTGTGCAGCCCAGGGCAGAACGTCGGACTCGGTCCCCGGAGCATTGACCCGCCCGCCCAGGCTGACCCCAGGCCCCCTTGTGCTCGCTGGGGCTGCCCCCCTCCGCCCGGCCGCCATGCGCTGAGAGCCGCCGGCCCGCAGCCCTGCTCCCATGGGGAGGGGAGCCCAGGCGGCGGCCGCTGGCGCTGTGAGGGCGGCGCCCTGCTTGGCCGGGGCACCATGAAGTCCCTGCTCCTCAGCCGCTTCCTGCTGCTGCTACCCTGGGGGCTCATCGTCATCCTCCTGCTGGACACGGACAGCAGCCGGGCGCCGCCCGCGCCCCCGGCCCGGCCCCCGCAGCAGGCGGGCCCCCGGCGGCCGGCGCTGCCCCCCATCTATGCCATCACCCCCACCTACAGCCGCCCGGTGCAGAAAGCCGAGCTCACCCGCCTGGCCAACACCTTCCGCCAGGTGGCGCGGCTGCACTGGGTCCTGGTGGAGGACGCGGCCCGGCGCAGCGAGCTGGTGAGCCGCTTCGTGGCGCGGGCCGGCCTGCCCTGCACCCACCTGCACGTCCCCACCCCGCGCAGGTACAAGCGGCCCGGCCTGCCCCGCGCCACCGAGCAGCGCAACGCCGGCCTGGCCTGGCTCCGGCAGCGACACCAGCACCTGCCGCCGCCGCAGCCCGGGGTGCTCTTCTTCGCCGACGACGACAACACCTACAGCCTGGAGCTCTTCGAGGAGGTAGCGGGGGAAGGAGGGCGGGTGTCGGGCCCAGGGTGAATCCAGAGCCTGGCACACCCTGTCCACCTGCATGCACCTTAACCCAGTCCAGAGCCTGGCCCCCCGACACCCTGCAAACACTGGCTCCACCCAGTCCTGAGCCAAGCCCTGGTACTCCGACCGCTTCCATTCAGTCCAGAGCTGTGCATCTCCAGCCCCTTGCATGCACCTCCACCTAATCCGGAATCAGCCCCCCCCCCCCATGCATCTTTAACCAATCCAGAGCCGTGCACCCTGCCTGCACCTCCACCAGGTGACACCCAGGCCCAGAGAGTCCGCAGCACCACAGACCTTGCATATTCTTCTAACAGCCAATTAACACCCTGACCCTGCATGCACTCTTCCCCAGCCTGCACACAGACACGGTTTTATGCACTGTGCATTCACTTTCAGGAGATCTAGACCTTCAGTACACCCAGAACTCATACAGTCCACCTAGTTTTAGGCACAGTGCATGGCCCCTCACCCAAACTCATGCAAAGACCTTTCCAAAATCAATATTCCAGCATTCTGCACCCATCTTCCCCCAGACTCAACGTTTCACATATTCCCTTCTCCCAAATTCATGCACTCTGCAAGCATTCAGAGTACCAATGAATTTGTGCTGCTCCTGCTACCGTTACCTTAATCTTAATTCTGCCTTTCAGGAACAGTTCCCCTTTTTTTCCCTTCCCACATCCTGAAGCAGTCACTTGCTCTTTTATCATTTTCTTGCTGAGATATGCAGAGTTGGATTATATAATGACTTCACTGTGGCTCTGTTAAAACTGGGATAAAAGAGACACCACTGTCTTTGATCTCTTCAGTTCTGGTTGTGTCTCTTTCTTTTGCCCTGGAGGGCAAACTCACATCGTGAATCATGGTCCTTTATAATTTAACTTGCCTTGAATTACTTTGCTTGGAGTTGCCCACTCTTTTTTGAAGCCTGTCATTGTTCAAAGCAGAAAATCTTTTACATAATGGCTAAACATCTTTTCAGGAGTCTCAGTTGTAAGGGGATGTGTTTTGTCTTTATTCCAGCCACTCCGTGAAGTGCTTGCTCCCTTTCAGTGGGAGTTGGCAAGTGCACAGGGATGAGGTTATCCAGCTTTCTGATTTCCCACTGGCAGGAAGGAGGGATGTTTAATAAGTGGACATAAAACAGCAGAAGAAAGATCATGTATCTTTGACAGATAAAAGAATACCTTGGCAGAAAAACGGGGGAGGGAAAGAGGAAAAAAATAGATTGGCAGACAATGTGCAGGAGTTTTAAAGAGATTGAAATCAGCATACTTCACTGCTTAAAGGTATGAACCTATCAATGTATGATAGTATCCTGTATTTAGCTAGCACTTCACATCCATGGGTGACTTACAATCAGTAGATGGAAACACCCAGTATACAAAGATGTGCAGCAGATAAAGCCTCTAGAGGGAGTTTGTTTTAGAAATGTTGATCAACGCAATTGACTAGTGTTTAGATTTAAAATATATTTTCTTCCCTTTTCAATACATTGACAGGTGCAAGTTCCTCATTTAGCAGAGCTGCTCTAGTTCCTTTTCCAGCATGAGATGCAGCACTGAAGCTCCTAATTTGAGGACCTTACACTGGAAATGTCATATTCTGTTTTTCTGGGTTATTTTCCTAAACCTCCTTACACCCCCATGGCTGTACTTAGCTCATCAATGCACAGGAATTCTATGCCTTCATCTTGTTTTAATGATGTCATCTGGGTTCTCTTGGAATTCGGTGCCAGTGTGGTTCATTCCACTGAAGGTTACAACCCAATCCAGAAAATATGCCCCACTCCCAGCAGTAGCACAGGGGCAAAGTCTGGACACAAATCCTTTCTATAATATACACAGGAAAGAGGAAACACTAAATGAAGAAGTGACAGGGCACACCAGTTGAGTAACTGTTAAGTTTATGCTCAAATAAATTGGTTAGTCTCTAAGGTGCCACTAGTACTCCTTTTCTTGTTAAGAGAAGATGGTCCTGAGTCAGCTTGAATCTTTTTTATTTCCTAGTCCTTTATTTCTAATTTCTGAGGATGATGAAATTAAAAAGGTACAAATTAGCTCCCCAAAGTGCTGGCTGTGAATGCAGGAATGCAAAGGATGAATGAATCTGTAGGGTTAACCTTGAAGATTACAGGCACAACAGGCAATCCATGTTCAATTATTTCTCTTTGCTAACAGGAATGCCAGCCTCTTCACACATGCAGCTAAGCAATTCTAAGCCTCCTTTCAACACGGTTCAGTGCTAAGAAAGAAATGTGTGCTTTGAACAGTCCCATGTTCACAGGGAAACACATTTGTGAGTGAAGCTCTTGCTATGAGATGCAGTAGCAGAAACAAACAAAACAGATCTCAGGGAGAGATTTCAATCTTCAAATATCTACCGAAACAACCCCATTTCTGTTTTCCCTGCAGCACAGATGGGCTCTCGTGGTGAGGGGGAGGTACTGCTGGAACACAGATAATCCCCCCCTCCCCCCCCGCCCATATTGATCTGTTGCTCTGTCCAAGCAACTAAAATCGTTTGCAAATGAGCCTTTCCAAATGCCACAAGCAGAGTGTGCCTTTCTGGTGAGAAGGTGGACCGCATAGCCTTGTTTTCAATCAGGGCATTGGTCAGATTTCTATTTCTCACTGAAAAAACTTCATATTTCTCATTGGAAAACCTTCACTATTTTCATGAGTTCTGACTTGACAATTTTAAAATAAATTTCTGTCTCCCCTTTGGGAATTGATTGAGTAAATTGTGCTCCTCCTCTCCAAGCATGAAGCGGCCAGCCTCAGAACACATCACCTATGACAGAAATCCTGTAGTAATTCCCTTCCTGAAAGTGGCTTAATGGGATGTGAGAGGGAATTTGTTAATGCTTAATGCTGTTTCCTATCCTTCCAGTAGCAACTCTTCTAAATGGTGGTTGCTGAATCGCTAATCCCAAAGGAAACCGGATTTAAGACCTATTGTAGACGAGGAAGGGATTGGGATAGACATGGGACTGGAAGCCAGAAACTCCTGTATTCTAATCCTGCCTTGAGCATGGACTGCCTGTGTGATTTTTGAACAAGTCACAATTACAGCCAGAAAATGACTATGTAAAATTGCTGTCTTATTAAATAGATCTGCATGTGTGTGTTCAGAATCATAGCTGCTGATTTTAGTGACAAAAGTAGGGATGTTTTGGTAATATTTTTCACTCCTGTTAGCACCAGAAAGACCAGAAAGTTCAAACTCTGAAGGGCTTCCAAAACCCCATAGGAGTTTTGCATCAGTTCACTTTACACTGGTAATGGTTTGCATTGGTGTAGCTCCAGTGATGCAATTTTCTCTGATATACTTAAGAGAATGTGAGCCTCTTTAATGAAGCATCCCCCTGCAGCAGCTTTATTACTAGAGAAGGTGTACAAGCCAGAAGGAATGCGCTTTGTGAAATGCCAGGTTGTTTTTGTCGAGGTGTCAGTTTGAAAAATCTAGTCTCCATTTATGGTATTTTATAATGTGCTCATCATCATATTAGAAATGCACCAGATTTATTTGATATGGAGAGATGTTAAATATTAGAGTTAGTAAGAAAACAGCAACAGTTTTCCTTTACAATTAAAAATAAAATGCAGGGTTTTTTTCTTTTTAATTAAATCTGGAAACAAATATAGACTAACTGTAGTAAACGTGGAACCCCACAGGGCTCTTTGTACTGTGGCCTACACATTTGCCTGTCTCCCCTGGGTGGTGTGGAGCTTAATTTGTTAATAGCCAAAAAATGTGCTCTCCTATTCCAATTAAATGAGGTTGCTCCAAGCAGGTTTTAACTATAGTTTCTGAAGTGGTGCTGAGGATGGTTTGTCCTTAGCTACCCTGCAGCTAAACTTTGATCCCCATTGGTTCCTCTGCATCTTTTGTCAGGAATGAGTATTTTTAACAACTTAGAAGAGGCTTCTGTGAGAGGAGCAGTTGGCCAGTGTTTGGAGTGCTAAGTGATATCATGGCAATAACTGAGAAATTGTTCTCTGGAATAAATGGAGGTCCGGCCTTTAGATGCTCACAACTCTTTTCACTTTAGGATGTAACCTAGAAATTTAGGTCTACAATTTCTCTTTAGTCCAGATAGCTGTGTCAGTATTTATCTATTTATTTTCATAGCCTAGAGCCCTAGAAGTTGATTGATTCTTTACCTGAGATGTGGACCACTCATCTACAACCCCATCTCCCATCAAAAGCAATTCCTCCCCCCGCCCCCATTCTGGAAATGTATTTAATTATATGATCAGACAAGATACTCAACAAGAAATTAATTTTCATAGCAAAGCCAGTGGAAGGACTAAAGCCCAACTAACATTTATTTCATGAATTTTATTGAGATTTCAACATGAATCAGTGTGACCTCTCTTTCTTTCTTTTCTTGTAGGTTGTTTTGAGTGATGCAGTTACACTTTCTGTTGCATTTAGCTCACCCTATGCCTGGATACAAGTAATTTATAATAAAGTGCTAATACTTTGATTTCCAGTTATATACTTTTAGATTTCTAGACAAAAATCTTAGTTAAGACTGAGACTATCTGATCCTGTAATTCTGCCTCCATAGAATGTTAGATTAATAAGTCAAAAACAACAGTTTTTGTGGTTCCAACTCCAACCTCTACCTTAACTTTTCATATCTCTTCCTGCCCACCTTGTATATATCACTAAGCCAGAGATTCACTTACTCTGCCCTTTCTGTATTTTAAATAATGGGCCATATACTATTACTTTTAAAACCTATATATGTTAAATTTACACGTACAGATTGGGTGTCCTCCATCAGTTCAGCTAATCTCCTGCTTCTTACTCAGACATACCTGTCAATGAAGACTTCAGTAGGAGGTTGTCCTGCTGAAAGGATACAGGAAAGGGCTTGATGTATGTAGAATCAAATATGCCATCTCAAAATCTGCAGTGTAGTTATAGCCACCTCAGTCCCAGAATATTAGAGA